CAATACAGTTGCTGCGCAGCCCGTCAACCTGGGGCCACGCCCCCTGGTGGGCTGAGCTGGCCACACACACAAAATAAATAAATAAATAAATAAATAAATAAATAAATAAATAAATAAATAAAAAAGAATTATATTCTATCTAATGAGGACAGCTGAGAGCTGCTGTTTGACAAATAATAGGGCTGGTGGCCAGTGACATGTTAGTGAGTAATGGTAGCTGATTGCCAATACAGTTGCTGCGCAGCCCGTCAACCTGGGGCCTGTGAGGAGCAGGCGGGCCCACCTCATTCGCAGCTTGCACCTTTGAGGGATGATGGGCCCAGAGAGAGGGATGGTCCACGAAAATGCTTCGGCTTAGAAAAGGGTTGGAGTGTGGTGAAGAGGAGGGAGGAAGAACAAGTAGCTGCGTTCGCACAGCTGTTCCTGAGTCCTCTTTTCCAGTCCTCCAGTTCTGCCCGCAGTGTGGTAATCCTTTTATCTAAGTTCTGCAGGGAGGCTGAGCGGCTCCTCACCTGCTGCTCAAAGGCCCCAGCACTGGCCAGTGACTGAGTCCCGAGCTCTGGGTGAAGCCCGATAGGCCGGTCACTGCAGCACATAGGGAAGCATCTGGCAACTAGTTCTGGCCAGTGTTGGCCCAGATAGAACCAGCTGCCCTTTGGGCCGGCAGGAAGACCTGAGGCTCATGGAATGCTCCTGCCACACAGCGGCTGGCCCCGGCCTTGGAACCGTCAGCACGGAGCTGGGAGGCTTCCCTGGGCCCGGGCCAGAGGCTGAGAGAGGGGAGGTGCGATCCAGGCTTGCTGGAGAGCGCTCTCTTCAGCACCAGCACCTCTCTGCTGTCTCAGCCACCCCGCCTGTACACAGCCTGTAGGATCAGTTAGATCAGTAGCTCGAAGTGTTTGGATAATTTTCTAGTTACTTCCAGGATGACCTGTGTACATTTTTATTTTTTCTAAATTAAATGCACTCATTTGGCCCAGTGTTCAGCTCATAGTTTTTCTGTCCTGGGGGGTGGGCCTGCTCTTCCAGAGCTCCCAGCCAGCGTCTCACGTGGGGCACTCTCCTCGTGGGCGCGTGACCTGAGTGCAGCCTCGGATTTAGGGGCACAAGAAATCGAAGGCTTTTGGTTCTTTGAGCTGTGGTTAGCTGAAGTTTTCCTTTCTGTTGGAAAACCTCGGGAAGTGTCCGCTTTGTCTTCTTCAGGGCTTTGATTCCTGGCTGCTTGATTTCTTAAAAACTTCATGCGTCAGCTTAGATGGCTCCAGGTAGCTGGATGTGTGTCCGGACAGCAGACCTGCTTCGTGTAGCCAGTCATTTGTTTTCAGGACGCCGGCAAGCAGTTTTCTGACATGCCTTTTTTGAGACATCTGATCTTTGATCTAGAAATTCCTCGACTCCTCTTGTCAGGATGCCCCGCCCTGTGTGCATCGAAGCCTGGTTTGCACGCCACGTGGGCAGACATCCCGCAGGACGCGGTTGTTCGTCTTCCCATGCTGCAGATGTCACCTTGGGTCACACTCTTTACCTCTTTTAAATTACAGAGAGTGGTAATTTGTAATCTAAGGATGCTTAAATGTTTGTGTCAGAAAGCGTCCATGCATCACCAGGGTTTTATCCCCAGATTGTTTTAGAGCAACTGGAAATGTGCTCCAGCAGGGGACAGGGCAGGCTGTGGGCGGCTCGCAGGGGTGCGGGTGGGCGGGGAGTGGGGCTGGGCAGGGAGGGTCTCCGACCTCTGCACGGGCCACGAGCACGGGGTGGGGCCAGTCTCCTTAGCAGGTAAGGGGGCAGAGCGGCCAGAAGCTGGGAAAACACGTGGAGGTGGGCCAGTGTCTCCGGCTGCGCAACGCCAGCTCACTGTTTTCGGAGGCCTGGAGAGTAAGGATCGAAAGTTGCACGCCCGTTCCTTTGGTCCATCTCACTGCGTGACGTCAGCGGCTTTATTTCTCATTTAACTTAACCCCCGTATTATCATTATTGCTACTACCACCACCACCACTACCACCACCACTACCACCACTACCACCACTACCACTACCACCACCAACCACCACCACCACCATGACCAG